AAAGCCTGCTCCTTTGCTCTTCTGCTTTTCCTTTCAAGTGTCTGATGTTCTCTGTCTCAGGTTGTCCCCCCCTCCTCCTCTTTTTATTTATTTATTTTCTGTCCGGTCCTGTTCTCATCTGTTGGTGGCAGCATGCCTTACTTTAAAAAATTTTTTTTTTTCCTTCCCTCTTTGTAATGTTTTTGTTGAGATTTCAAACACTGTGCTGTTCCTGTCTAGATGTCAGTCAAAGCCAGGGAGGTGATGCTAAGAGGAAGACTCTATGATCCAGCGGACCCAGCTGATGCAGTCCAATCAAATGAGGAAACTCTGGGACAGCCGGGACGCACAGACCGCACATAACAGGGGTCTGAATTACAGACTTTTGCTTTTAAGATCAGCTCAACTATCCACAACTACCAGTTAAAAATAACCTTTTTAAAACAATGACAACTTTTAAATCTTTGAGCTGTTAAATAAAATGGCAAATGCAGTTTGCCAATGTTTACACAATAGACCTATATCACTGTGGACAGGGAGGAATGAATGAATGGGATTTATAGTTGATTGAGGTGTGTGTGTGTGTTTGCTGGGACTGTGTGCCTTTTGTATGGCTCCCTTTCTGATGCATGGTCAGTGTGTCTACTTGGTGCTGTTTTTATCATAATGTAATTATCACTGATACCTGTAAGAAATGTAAACAAATTGTTGAATTTGAGCTTCTTTTTTTTTTTTAAGAGAGAGCTGTACATGTTTTAATTGTACTTGAATTCCTGGATAAATTTGTTCCTGTATAGAACTCAAACGGACTTTTAATTAAAATCTTTCTCTTCAAATGAATCATTCAAGCTGCATTATGAAAGTCAGCTGCTGAAGCTTCTGTAACATGTTGACCCCTGGACCATAGACTGTATATAAAAGCTGGACATAAAACAGCATTTTTGGCCATTACTATCTTGGTGTTCAGGTGTGACAAAAGAGAGGTGGATCTGACTGGAAGCTGAAGACAATGCAGACTTGTGCAGTGTCAGCGTACCCACTTTATCCACTGCTCTGGCTTTAATGGGGACCATCCTTTGTGAAATAAACATGTTTTATCCTGTATGACTGAAGTAGAGAATGAGCCCATACACTATTCGAAGTGTTTGCGGACATCATTAGAATTGATTTCGTTTTCCCAGATCTCTAACTCTCTGTTAGCATCATTAGCTATTTTTACTGCCGCCAATAGAATGATTAATGTGGTTTAATGTCCAGACATCCACAGATTAGGTTTGGTGGAGCCAGAATGTGAGCTAGCTAGGAAACACAAATTATATACTGTGCAGTGACTGGAGTTATCTTAAAAATAAAATACAACACATCTGTAATTTTGGGCATAAAGAAAAAAGTAAATAGCAGTGATGTCTGGGTTAGGGAAATTGGTCCAATTGAGATACAATTAGTAGAGAGAACATGTTGGATGAAAGTACATATTGTGGCAAAGACAAAGGTCATTTAGCAAAAAGATGATACCAAAAACAAACTTCAGTCAAAACAATGCCTGAGACAACTCCACCCAATCGAAATTGCAAGGCTAGCCATTCATATATTGCTACATAATATTGATTATCTAATAAAAGAATAGAATTTTTAAAAAGGCCTGATCTTAAGCCTTGTGTTCGCACTGCAGTCTTACTCAGCACAGGTGTCTGGAACACAGGACTTTTATCCAACTCTGTTTAAACACTTGCTACCTGATTATGGCAAAATACTGCAACATGGTAAAAAGGCAAGAGCCCAGAAACTGTGTCCCTGGATCCTTAACAAGCAAATACAATCAGACCTGATTTTGTAACCAGAGTCAAGAAAGAATGCAGGCTTAAAATATTTCAACATCGCCTTCTCTTTTCAGACCTGCAAACAACAGCCATCTTTTACATACAGTCTCTGCTCCTCAGATGCCTATACAGTGGTATTTATGAGAAACACAACATGACACAATTATAGGCAGTGTAGATTTAATTGAACCCTTGATTTAGCTATTAAATCAACTTAGTCCTTAATGAAACCCCAAATAAACCAGACATGAAAAATGCAAAAGGTCCTCAACAATAATAAATGTTCAAGTGTCTGAAACATTTTTTGACATCAACTCAAATGAACAGAGTCCAACAAGTAACAAGCAAGACAAAAACAATTTAAAAAAACAAAAAAAGGGGTGGGTAAATCTAAGCAGTTTGTGAATGATGTAAAAATGAAGGGCAACTCGAACTGATAGTACAGGAGGCGAGGATTGGCAGGCCCTCGTTGAGGTTGTCCCAGGTAGTTGCCCCCCACCAGCAAAGCACTTCATTTCCACCTCCTGGAGCCTACTTGACCAGAGGCCTGGTTTTGTCGTCGTCGCCACACTGGTGGGCTTTGTACTTTTTCACCTCAGCCATGTACTTAGACCAAGCATCGCTCTTGCCTGGCTCAGCCTGCAGGGGAGGAGACAGAGGTTATCACCTGTGGGAACAACACAATCAATATTGCCACCTTCCATCCCACTTACTTCTGTGTCTTGTTTCTGCTTCTTCGCAACAATGCCGGTCTTTAGGAACACACCGCCTCGGCGCTTCCCCACCTGGGTTAGGGGATAGAAGACTGAAACCGTTATACGAGCTCTTGCACGTGGACTGCCAATGAAGGAGACTACACCAGAGCAGAAGGTCTACACTTAGTCTCGCGCCACCAGCGAAACCATCAGTGAGGATCATCCCTACACTTTACTAAGCTATTGTTCGTTTTACACCATCACTGTGGGTGATTTTACTGAAATATCTCAGGGATAATACAATCACCGGCATATGTATGAAACACTCATAAAAATGACATGTCAGCCATCAGAGTAATAACTATGGTGCCAGTAAGCCTGCTGTATCAGTGCATAGTGCTTCACTTTGGCTGTGAGTGGAACTACTGCTATCTCATCTTACAACTGCTAAACCCCTTACAAAGCTCGTCACGGGTGGGGCCTTCTTTTCCACTGGTGTCTGTCCTTGCTCGGTGGCTCTGGCATCTCCACCTGTTTGCTGCATCTCCTTTTTCCTCCTCTCATCTTCCATCTTCTTCTTGAATAGCTCCATGAAGCTGCCGTCGTTAGCGAACACGTTGCCCCCAGGCATCAGGGGTTTGCTCGATGGCTGTGCGGGGCTGCTCGAGGGGGACGCGGGGCTCCCGCAGCTGGAGTCCTCGCTGCTGCCGCCACCGCCGCCGCTCGTTTGAGGTTTGTCGTGTGCGCGTTTTGGATCCATAGTTCCTGGGCAAGCAGACACAGTCCCGCTGTGTGTTAGCTGTGTAACACGTATGGCTTTGTTGTGTGGTTGGCCTTAGCGGAGAGCACTGCCAGCACGCCTCAAGACGAGCTGGACCCCACCCGCAGTGCAATACGAAAACCTAAAGTCTATTTAAAAATAGATCAGCTGCACAGTCCAGTGTGGGGATATAGTCTTTGAAAAATATGGCGAAGTGTAAAAAAAGCCAAAAGGCTTTAAAAATGTCAGCCCTCTAGCACACAATCCCCGGGCCCAGACAAAAACAAAAGCAGGCGCTGGTTTAGCTGCTAACGCGGCTAACAGCTAATGCCCGGTTCGGCAAGGCCACTGCAGACGAACAAACTCAACTACGGCCTCCCAGTTCATGTGCGGAACCTATTAAGGTATAAGCATACAGCTGCGGCTCACCTAAAGGTTCAAACACCTGCGACAAAGACAAGAAGGGTCAAAACTGTTACTAGCAGTTATCGCCAACTTTCACAAACCGTCACCTTCGCTCCGCCATGTTTCATTTTCTCTGGTGACATCACGTGGCAGCTGTGTAGCGCCTCCTGCTGTGCCGGAAGTGAAATTGATACTAAAAATGACATAACAGACGGTTGTTGGCTGGAAACTGCTGGCTCTCAGGTCTGCTTCAGTTGACACGGTACAATTTAATACACTCCGTTTACACAGCCGAACATGAACTCTGTCCTTCACTCTGACAGTGCCGTAAACAATACTCTGTGCTATATCCCTTAAAATAAATCCTCACTGTATTTATTATTTTTAGATATTGATTAGGATTGTCAGGAACACTGTCATTAATCCATTCAATTTACACTTGTATTAAAAGGTCAAGCTGATCAGTTCACATTATGCAAGCTTATTTCAAACTTCAGTCCCGTGCAAAAGTCTTGAGCCACCCCTTATTTGTTTTTGTGTTGATTCCAAGAAGGAAACGGGGGCCTGCGCAGGGTGAACTCTTCCTATGGTAGCTGGGATAGGCTCCAGCACTCCCCTGCCGCAACCCTGATAAGGATAAGTGGAAGAAAATGGATGGAGGGTGGAACCTGGACATGTGAACAAAAGACAACGTGGCAGGCTTTAACCAATAGATAAAATAAAATAGTGGAGACCCAACACAGGATCTGAGTTCACTGAAGCCTCATGAGAAATGGTCTCAGTGGGTGGCTATCTTACCTTAGAGTTGAGGGTGTGTTAAAGAATAAAGGTGGTCATACAAACTGACTTCAAGTTTGTTTGAATTGTAGAAACTGTTTTTAATCCTTAATGTTTAAGCTGCTGCATCTCCCATTTTCCCAGAAAAATATAAAGAAATCAGGAGTGGTTCATGATTGTTACATAGTACAGACTTAACAAATCTCAGGTGAATCTTACAGCCCCCCCCCCCCAACATGCCATTCTATTACATTGTGCTGTTGTTCATCATGTTTGAATGTGCCACCTCTCTTTAATCCGTTGAGATGTGCTTGTGGAAAAGTGGTGCGATGGATAAACAATGCCTTCACCGTTTTGACAGTTGCACAAAGGATGTGAGAAGTTTGACTAATCAGTTTGGCCTTTAGGACTGTGACGGAATGAAAGTCTACCCACAACAAGGGCCCACAGTGATAAAACCTGGGTTGGCGTGCTTTCTCAGACCTCTCTGGGTTAGTCTAAATCGGAAGGGACTGTGAAAGTGAGTCTTTGAATGCACTGAAAAGAAGAACACAAAATGCCATCTTTAACTTAAGACCCCATTTATTTGTAGTGCAAAAAGTAGAACAGAGAGGACTACAAATAATTTAACCCTGTGTCAAGTACATTATGCTATAATCTAGGAGACCATTTCATGATGCAACCTTTCACACCATGCATATGTGGAGCAATCATTTTACGCCATAAAAACCAACTTAAAAAAAAAAACAAAAAAATAAAAAAAGTGTTTACACAACAGCAGGACTCTGGTCTTTGTAGATCATAGCACAAACTGTTAGAGGCAAGTACAAGTCACAGGACAGCAGCTCTGACATGGAACGCACAAAAACAACTTGATCAATGGTTGTAAAGAAAGGCAGACGTAGTGTCTGATAAATGTGCCTCAGGCTTTTTAATCTGCTGTCGATTTCCTGTCACAGGAAAAATTCCAGCGCATTGAAGAACACGTTTCCTTCCAGCTCAGCTCAGCCGTGAACAACACCTAGCAGCGGCAAACAGCACATCAGCTGACTCAGTTTTATATATTTTTTAGTGTTTTTATGATTAGAGACTCTCGCATAGTGTTATCCAGTTTTTGTGTTTAAAGTGGAGAGTGCAGTTAGGTCCGACCCACAATCAGACCCCCTGATGGGGGAGGTCTTATGGATAGGAATAAAAAATAAAAATAAAAATAAAAATTTAGAGGCAACAGAGAAAAGAAAAATACACAAAAGTCATATCACCAGACTTGAGCACGTACCTGCAGTGTGACAGAAACAGTGTTGGCGCTGCAAACATGTCAGTGTTCAGTCTCATCTATAAAGGGCTAGCATGGGAGACTTTTGCGAGGCACTGAACAAACCCACCCTTCTAGAGAGAAAGTGCTTTGGTGTACACTGTGAAAATATTTACAAAAGACATGTTTCAGATTTAAGGCTGAGAAGGAAAAAAAAAAAAAGCATTTAAAGTGAATACAGAAGAAATCGAGACTAAAGCTGTTACACACCCGCTTGATTTTTACATTTTTTCCAAAGGTACTTCAAACTTAGACTAAAAATAAAACGCTACAAGAAGAAAAATCCTCAGCAAACACATAAAACCCAAAATGTAGTGAACGTGACGATCTGCTGTAGTGGAGGTATGAGGACAGCTTGTGCAGCTTTTGTTCTGTAGCACTTGGAGTAGTGAAACTTCTCCGTCATCTATCACATTTAAACTGGCACCTGACAAAACTTGTTCCAGTTCTGTTTCACTGTTTAACATAAAAAAAAAAATTAAAAAAGGATTTTAAAAAGATGTTCAAGAAAAAAAAAGGGAGTGAGTCCAAGAGGCTACAGGGGAAATAAAAGTCACCTTAAAAGGTGAAGTCGCCTCTTCTTAAGGCCTATAACTCCTACTTTTTATCAGAGCAGAGAGCTTCTGCTCTGGAGCCCAACGGAGAAAAGAAATCTTCTCATATCAGTAAGAGCCAGCAGGGGGCAGCAACAGCGTGACAAAAACTGAGGCGCAGTGATCCCAGTGAAGGCATAAAAAGGCAAAAGACACTCAGAGATCACATGGATCACCTTGTGTGCACTTTGCTTTTCATTTGAGGGTAACTGTCACGCCTCCGTGTCTCATCTCGGGTGGTGTCGTGTCAGGCCCCTCCTTGCGTTGGTGAGTTGTCTCTGCTGGGCGAGGAAGGACATGGCCTGGTTGGAGGAGCCCAGCTGCTCACCAGACACTTTCTGATGCAGCGCCATTCCCTGACAGGTAAAGAGAGCGGAGGAAAGAAAGATGAAGGAGTGAGGGATTGGGTGGTGTGGATGTAGTTCCTGTTTGAGCTTTTGTGTATTTACACGCTCGCTCACCATGTTGTACCAGGCACTGATGATGAGTTTCTCCTCCTGGTCATGCCTGGCCCTGCTCTTCTCATAATCATGCTGTATAAAAGGAACACCATCATCATGCATTAGTGGGATTTACAGCGCTGATGGAAGCACATTTGTCTCTCAGAGTCAGAGGTTCATACCTCCAGATGCTGGATTCTTCTCTCCTTCTCTGTCAGCTGGTTTTTCAGGGCCTGAATGTCAGGAGCCGCTGGCTGCTGCTTAGGATCCAGGGTTTTGATCACCTGCACACAAAAGGATATTCATTTAAAGAGCTTAGAACATCATTTTTTCTGATATTTAAAAAGATCAAAGTCTTTAAAAATGTGTGAAATAAAAGGTGCAGTACTCCTATAACCACTGACCGTTCTCGCCTTCTCCACGTAGCGTTTGTATCGCTGCTCCATCTGCTTCATGTCCTCGTCCTTCTTCCGCAGGATCTCCTGGAGTTCATCAATCTTCTTAGCCACTAGAAGGAAAAACAAATTTGTGTTTGGGAAAGGAACAAAGCTGAACTTCTTCTGAATACCATCTACATGACATTTCTTACTGTTGCTGTCTACTTTGGGCTCCAGGTTATCAATGACCTCTTTTTTCTTTTGCAGGTCTGACTGGGCCTCGTGGAGCTTCTCCCTGGAACAGTACACACATCGACACTTGTGTGAGTTCACTTTTGTTTGTAGCACAGAAGGCAGACAGACATCAGTAAGCAGCAGAAAAATAATACTCACAGGTGCTCCTCAAGCTTTTTCTTCAATAACGATGACTTCAAAGAAGAAGAAAAGAAAGAAAGAAACTTGAAATCCATTGTACTTAAAATGGCACATTTAAAAACACACACAAACACACACACACACACACACACACACACAGTATAAACTGTGAAAGTCAAGGTGTCAGAGTCAAATCATAGGCCAGTTGGAGAGAGGGCGGGCCGTACTTACGATGGCCTGATTTTGGCAGAGTTGATCGGTGGGGGCAGGCGGAGAGAGACAGACACAGAGGGGCAGGCGTTACCGGTGAATCACCACAGCAAACACGGGTTAAATTCCCACACAACATGTATCAAAGTAGGAGAACAAACAATGCAGTGCTCAAAGGCAGAGTGATTTCAGAACTAATCGTTTTAATATACTCAGTGTGCCATATAAATACCATGCCTTTAATGACTTGAGCATATACATAATAAATTACTTTGTTGGTTAGAATTTAATCTCGCATTTTATATTTCACTTCTTCAAGGTAAAACTGATAAGAAAAAAAAAAGTCAGTTGCACACTGTGTATATGCTGCCAATATTCTGTCAGCTTGATTGTGTTGAGTTATGTAATAGCAGAAGTGGGCAGATGAGAAGCAAAGCGGTCTTTCTACTCACGTCCTCGTTCTTGCTGTCCTGCTCCTGGAGTGCTTTCTGGAGCTCCTCGACCTGAGAACGCAGCTCTGAGATCTGCTGCTGGTTCAGCCTTGGAAAAAGGAAAATAAGGGAAACACGGGGTAAGAATGAGAGGAAAGGTTGGGAAGAGAAGGAGGAAAAAAACAAAAAACAAAAAGGGAGGGAGGTGTGTGGGGGAGGGGGCACGACTAGAGAAGGAAAAGGGTTTATAGAGAAGCAGATGGTGAAAGACGTGAAAGATGCAACACAAACGTATTAAGCTGCTGCTACTGTGGGTGGAAGATGTTTGCAAAGTATCAAGTGGGTCCTTGTACATCTGCTGCAGGCACCGACTGTGCCGCCTGGCCATTCACTGCTCTGCTACTGAGCATGCTCACTCCACTCCTCTCCTCCTGGTACTGTTGCTGAGGATGCTTCCCACACCCTGGGCCTGGTGTTGCAATGGACACACACACAAACGTACACACACACAGTCCACCCACATGTCCACATGCCCACAGGCATGTAAACACACACACACACACACACAAACACACACACTGAGCCGAGGGACAATCTGGCTTTTTGCTTGTCTGTCCTCCAGTCCAGCCCACACAGTTCAGTTGAACACACAGTCCAGAGGGTGAGTTGACATTTAGGCAGATATCACTCCTCCTATCAGCCAAACAACCAGCTTAATGTTCAGGAACGCACAGTATGGTGGCCTAGAAGCAGACTGGTTATTTAACACTGCTGAAAGAAGAGTGCGCACACACACACACACACACACACCCCTACCTGTTCTGAGTTTCTAGCCCATTCTTGCTGCGTTGAGCCTCCTCCAGCTCAGCCTGAACTTCCACAAGTTTCTGTCGGTAGGTCTCCTCTTGGACGCACAGCATCTTGTTTTCACTTTGGAGACGAACAACTGTCTCCCTGTCAAAGCAGCAATGATAAGAGCGGGGCGACAGGAGGTGAAGGGAAAAAGAGGGGTGGGGATAAAATAAATGGGTTAGAGAATGGCGACTGCAAATGGAAGCATGAATGAAACTTCTATCCACCAACGCCCAGGCCAAACGCGCCATGTGTCGCTATTTGGCACGCAACGTCCACTTTCTAAAAATAAACTTTTGTGGTTGTGTTAGCAAGAATGTACACATGGCACGAGTGCGTGCGTGAGTGAAAGTTACACCGAGGCATGTTTGTGTAGACTTAAAATAAAACGGCCTTCTTATTATGGTTAAAAAACACCAAACAAAAGAAAACATTGAAATGTGTAAACAGACATACTTGATCTCAGTTGGCATGATCTCTGCAGCCAGGTTTTCAACCGCGTCACCGCTGTCACACAAGCCTCCTGCAGAGAGAAAGACAGATAAACAAATCATCGCAAAAGTCGAGTAATTCCTGTGTTACCCCAGAAAAAACAACAACAACAAACAAACAAAATACCCCAACCCCAAATCAGTTTGATAAAGTGAAACAGCACAAACAAACAAACAAACCCCCCCTTAAAACAAAATAGTTGCACAGAAATCACACTGAAGATCCCAAATTCAATAGAACTGAACTACATTTAAAATGATTAACAGAATAAAATAAGGAGCTCAATAATGAAAAATATGATATGAGGCACTTTGAGGCGACTGTTGTGATAGAGAAATAAAACTGAATCAAACTGAATTATGGCTGTGGAGCTGAATCACTCTTTAGAGAAGGTTCTTGGCTTCCTTTCTAGTAAGCGGTGCAGAGGATGACGACCTCTGAACCAGAACCACTGTTATCTGACTGCATTTGGAGGGAGGACTCGCACACACTGTCAGCTGGACACTTGACCAAGTTTACTCAAAAAGGCCGATTTTAGCCTGAGAAATGTTTTCACTGTAAATGTTTACAACCCCCCCCCAAAAGTTACACTCTTTAGTATTACAATTACACTCACTGGCCACTATATTAGGTACACACCAGTTTAATTGCTCAGTTACAAAAATATCTAATCAGCCAATCACATGACAGCAACAAAAAGCATCTATGTATGTAGATGTGGACTGAACATCTGAATGGGAAAGAAAAGTGATTTTAGTTTAAGAGCGATCTGTGTAGTCTCCTCATGGGTCTCACTGACCATGTCCACCCCTTTATGACCACAGTGTGACCATCTTCTGATGGCTGCTTACAGCAGGATGACATACCATTCTTAAACACCGAGTTTACTGTAATCAAGTAGTGTCCAGTCACCAGATCTAGAGCACCTTTAGGATTTGGTGGAACGGGAGATTAACATCATGGATGTGCAGCTGACAAATCTGCAGTAGCTGTGTGATGCTATCATGTCAAATCTCTGAGAAATGTTTCCAACACTTTCCTGAATCTGTGCCACAGAGATTTAAGGCTGTTCTAAAGGAAGAAGAGGGTCCGACTTCCAAGTTTCCTTATGTTTTATTGTTTTGTTTTTTTTCAACAGTGTGTGACATATTTCTCAGTAAAGCCCATTGTTTTAGGTGTTTTCTAGCCATACCTATGCTATCAACTCACCTGCTCCACTGAGATACCTCTGCTGGACTTGTGCACACCTGAGCTCATCGTTTGTCTCCCGCAGTGTGTCTCTTTCTGCGATCAGACGCTGGAAAACAAAGGACAGCAAAACACCTTAAGTGGCCTTAAGATCCATGTAGCGTCAGGTTTTCTATATCTGGACTTGGATGCGATGCAGTCCAGACAGAGAGAGCAAATGCAAGTATCCACGTCATATTAGCACGTTTCCTAATTACACCCACAAGTAAGCGAGAAAATTAATCACTCCTTGACTGCAGAAGCTACTAGAATTAACACAGGACGTGGGAGTCCGCTGAAGAATAGTACAGCATCTACCAGGACACAATTCGCCATGTAGGGAAGCGCTTTCTGTAATGATCACAACAAACGCCAATCTAAACATCATTTGTCATCACTGAAATCAAAACTATTACTAGACCGAGAGGGAAATGAGGGCCTCAGTGTACAAAAACACTCTGTAGACGATGTGCACATTTCCCCCATATAAAAACAGTTTTTTTATTTCTTGAAAATGCTCCCCGACTCACTTCTTTCTCCTTCAGCAGTGCGTCGTACTTGTCGTGAAGGTTCTTGTACTCAAACTGCCACTTCTCAGCTTTCATGGCCTCTGCTGAGTGCTTGGTGTGAAGCTCATGAGCCTGCAAGTCAGAGAGCATACAGTCAGCCAGAGAGCTCTATTTAAAATAAATAAATAAATAAATGAAAAGAGTTTCCAAACACGTGTACAAGCCAGAATGTGTTTCACATCTCTTGGATGTCCCAGCACAGGAACAGCCAAAAGCACAGCTTGCCTGTCTCTTGTAGGTGTCCAGCTGACTGCGGACAGCGTTGGCCCTGCGAAGCTCCTCCTCCAGCTCGCACGTGCGCTGCATGTACACAGTGTTGTGCTCTTCCAGGAGGCGCACCTGTCTGCGCAGGTCTCCCAGGTCCTCCAGCTTCCTCTTGTACGTCTCCACCATCGCCTCGAGCTGGTTCACCCGGTCAGACGAGTGCCTGAGGGGGAAGGAAAGCATAGCGTGGGAGGCATCGAGCACCAGCAGAGGAATATGAGTTATACTTAACACAATGCGTCCATGTAGATGTGTACTCTGACGCAAGCCGGTGTCAATGCATGAAAATTTGTATTATCAACACAGATGTCAGAGAGAGCTGAATGGACATCTGTGTGTGGGCAGCATGGGGGTTGCTTCTGTGAGTTCATCTATTATCAGTTTGAACTACTACTTAAAGGAAAAGGCTCGTCATTATCAACATTCTTGATATTAAAAATTTACCAACACTGTATTAGTATGTGTCTCAATACTTTTGGACTCAGGATCAAAACTGTTTAAGGTTTTTGCCTCTTCTACAGAGATCAATCTTCAAATATGCCAAGAAACTTCAACTCATCCACTGTTTTTTGCAACTACTACTCAAACAGAAGGAAACACTGAATTTGTTGGACAGAAGCAAATATATTTAAAATAATCTTTGTATAATAAAAGAAGCATTGCACCCTGTAATACACATACTAAATATTGTATGTGTATTACAGGGTGCAATGCTTCTGATTGTTGGCTTTAGCAATTGTTTTATTCACAGTTCCTGAAGTAGTAGCTCAGCAGAAGTTGTTAGCAAATGTTTACAATTTCCTGTTTTGACACAAGGAAAACCTTTATATGTAAAACACTTGTAAACTGTGAATTTAATGCATTCAAAAAAGCCTGCAAAGCATGAACACAAACACTTAGTGTCCATGTGACCAAACGCCCACAAAGCACAACTTTCTGCAGTTTCTTTCACTACAAACTTGTGAGCTTGCAAAAAGGCCTGCACCACTCCTTACATAATAACCACTGTATAACTGGCTTGTTTACATTTTCATGATGAACTGAACTCCATCTGTTCGAGCTGCTCTCACCTGAGGATGTCCATCTCGTCTTTGAGGGCCTGGGCCTCCTGCGCCAGGCTGGTCAGCTCTTCGTTCCGTAGCTGCAGCTCGGCCACCTCGCGCTCCAGTATCTCTGCCCGCACACGCATGTCGTCTCTGCCATTCTCCAGTCTGAGATATACAGCGGTTAATATAACTGGATATGCACTTTGAAAGACACTCAAAGGAACAGCTGACTCAACGGCATCTGATTTGCATGTCTTTATAAATTTGACTCATATGTTATGAACGAGGGCTGAAATTTTATACTACCACTACTACTACATCTTTTTAAAGAGTTAATGAATGAGACACTCATTATAAACCCTGTGTTGTTCTCCTAAGTACTTATGTACCACTTGTACCTGTAGTTTTCCTCCTGAAGCTGCTCCATCTGACTCTGCAGCAGCAGCAGCTTCTTGCCAGTGATGGCAGTGGTGGAGGCGTCCAGAGATTCGCATAGGCTGAGCTTCTCTTTCAGGGAGCGCGTCTCTGCCTGCAGGGACATCTTCTCCTCCAGAGCCACTGACAGCTGTCGGAGGGGAGTGGGAGAGAGAAACGGAGCACAAACATTGCAAAAAGAGGTGTAAAGACTGAGTGTGCAGTGGAGAGAAGATATGGAAGGTGAGCTACAGCTTTAAAAAGGGGTGAAAAACAGGACAAGGAGACACAATAGAGGAAAGGTCGAGATTGAAGCATAACAAAAAGAAGCAATAAAAACAAAATTTTTCCACAAATTTATACAAAAAAGCCACAGTGCAAGGACACGACAGATTCATGAAGGAAAACAAGATAAACAGCGATAACTCACCGCTTTCAGTGCAAAGAGGACCTTAAACACATGCTTTGCTGTAATATCACAAGCTCTTTTGTAAAATGTGTGTTAGTCAGCTGGTGTGCAATGATCTCAAGCAGATGGAACAGTCTCAGTAGTGCAGTTGTTAGCTTTACCCCCAGGGTTCAAAGCAGATCCTCATGATATGAGCAGACGAGTATGCAGAGCTCATTGAGGACCGTAAGTAATACATGTGTAACATTAATAGTAGGCAGGAGAATAGATCGACATCGATGACGGTGGTTGGTTTGAGGAAAGGGCCGGCTGTGGTTTAGAGCTGCATAACTTTTAAATGTTTGTGTCAGACTGAACGGCGCTCATAGTTAAACAAGCTTGCATTCCAATATTAAGAGACGGGAGCGCATACTTACCTGCAGGATATCTTTCCAGTCTGAATACAGCAAAACCCTACACTGAACTTTAAGGACAGATTGCATGCTTTAGCACCAAACCAGTAACAGTAAATAGCTTTCAAAACAACACAAATGACTAATCCCTAACGCGTGGGCCGAGTAAGTAAACAAACAGGTGGGCTGGGAGCAGTACAAATTATAGTTGGCTACTGCTCCATCCCAAGGCAACGTGTCAGTTTTATCTTGATGTTATGCAACTATCGACTGGGATCCTCTTTTTCAAAAAAAAAGAAAAAAGTCTGAATTAGTCCGCTCACATTCAGTGGTGCAAAAACAAGTCAAGTGAACACAAACAAAGCCTTTGGCTGGCTAATCAATAAAAGGCCAGAGCACAAAAGTTGCAGGCACAGACACGCACAACATGCTTCTCTAAACAAATACAGCAAAACTAAACCTTTGAGAGTCTGTAAATCTGGTAGGCAGAGATGAAATGGCATTATTTTTTCAAATTTCAAGTCCACAGCTCAAAGATTGATAAAACAAACCCGGGACTCATCTTAAAGTTATAATCCTCAAGATTTCCATGCAATCAAACCATTTTCCCAGCAACAGCTATTCTACTATCCACTCTTTATATTCTTACACACTGAGCTCAAAATCTTCTTTACAAGTGAGAACTGAGGGGTGTCCTATGAGGCAAGTCAAAAAAAGCCCGGCTTTCTGTTAAAGCCTAAACCTAAAACCCCAGAAAGTGACGATCAACTTTGTTAAGCCAGACTTTCTCTTGTCTGACATGTTATACTACTTCTACTACTACGATTAATCACATTATTGTTAATATTACAAACTCGATATCATCACAAGCATGCAACGTAGTAAATATATCATCTTGAAGTAAATTCATATTTACTGAATTCATTCTATAGCTGCGTTCTGCTGTTTATTTCTAATGTGAGAACTGCACACAACTCTGAAACCATAAATCTTATACATTTAAACAGGTTTCTCAGAGTGGTCACAGTCTAACAAGTAAGATGTGGAAACTGTTTTAATTTATAGCCAGATCAAAGTGAAATTAATTGTACTGACTGATCTGATATTGGCGATAAACAGCATACAAATGCAAATTCTCAGTTTTCTAGTAGCTGCAACATTAGTACTATGCTTAAAAACAGCTATACACTTTCTACATCACCATCCGACTACATATACATTCTAGGGACAATGCAGCATACAGTTTGCAATGCTATAGTTGTAGAGCTGGGCTTCATTCAGTGGTGTTAGGGCAGGCTTGGCCAACTCCAGGCCTTGAGTGCCGGCCTCCTGCAGGTTTTAGATCTCACCCTGGGTCAACACACCTGAATCAAGTGATTAGTTCATTACCAGGCCTCTGGAGAACTTCAGGACACGTTGAGGAGGTAATTTAGCCTTTTAAATCAGCTGTGATGATGAAGGACACATCTAAAACCTGCAGGACACCGTCCCTCGAGGCATGGGTTTGGACACCACTGTGTTAGGGTTTATAGATGCAATTTGTCAACCTGTAACATACCATTTTCTATCCCACTTAAAGCATGCTGGAATACGTAAAAATTTCAATTATGCTTTCAACTAGGAACATAATGTGCTCTGAACCAGGTTGTATGTTTAACATAAGTTACCAGAGTATTGTAGCCAGGGAAAAGGGAGCCACTTCCCAGACACTGAAAACGCTGATTTTAACCTGAATAATCCAATAATCTTGCTTTATAGTACACCCCTCCGGCCAAGGTGGGAACCATACAAACTTGGTACACCCATCAAATTTAAACAATAAATATAGGCCAACATGCATAGGTGGACTGCAACATTAGTGTTATATGGTTTTTGTCTCAGTGTTTTTATAGTGTACATCTGTACTCAATCATGCTTATTGCCCCAACTCCTGTTAAACGAGTTCAAACTAAACAAAAGTGGAATTTATACTCAAGTACTCACAGGAAAAAGACGTGAAGGACCAAAATGATAAATTTAAAGCACTTTTAGCAGGGTTGCACAGAACATCCACCTTAAACTTGCCAGCACTGCTGACATACTGCTGTAACTCTACAGTGTCGTGTGTGAAAAGCGCTGGCCTTAATCAGATGATGCTTGTGCAACAAAACCATTTGTTGAACCAATGTGTGCTCAAAGAGTGTCTCTTCAGTTTCCACCGACTTGATTGCCAAATTGACCTGAAGTGAAATCTTAAGATTATATCTTTAAAGTCTCAGGAAATGTTTGCCAAGTATGATCAAAACCGTGTTTAGTAAACCAACCTGATGTTCAAGGTGTCGACAGCGCTGGCTCAGGTCCTCCTTCTCGTCTGCCTCCTCACTCAGAAAATAATACTTTCTGGACTGCGAATAAAAGATGTGCAGACAGAGGATATTTGACACTGATCAAAGCAGTGGGGAGTAAACACAAACAGAGGATGTAGCAAATCTAAGTAAAAAACAAGTAGGGGAATGAATATGTTGTGGGTTTTTACCTGATAGTCAAAATCCCCGTAGGTCTCTGGGCTTCCCGGTTCAGATGACGGCTCCTTCGATAAGAGCTAAAACAAAACAGCAAAGTGAGTCAATGAATGCAACCACAGGGAAAATAAAATAACAGTCTTTTGCCAAAGGAAGATTTATCTGGTTCTCTGAATAACCTTGTTTGGTAAAAACCTTGGAAGATGATCCAGGTTTTTACAGTCCCTTTGGTGGTGATAAACACTAAACGCATCTTTGTAAATAGCATAGAGTAGGGGTCTGTGGGATGCTCTTTAGTCTTATGTTTATCCAGACTTCTTTGATTTTGAATTAACCATGACTAAGAATTGGATTAATGCAAATCAGGGTAAACCAAGAGGAAAGAAAAAGAGGCTCACTCACTTCCTGAATGGCAGTCATCACAACATGCTGGACAGATTCCTCGAGTGTCATTATCTGCTGGATTTGCTCTGCGTTTAGGAGAAGACAACAAAGGCCAGTGAAGTCTCAGCCAAATACAGATTAACACACACACGCATGCTCCCATGAAAGTCAAACCACTGCTGTAAAAATCGACTCAGCTTTACAGTCAATTTTCTGTAAAACTGACCTGACCATTTTTTGTCTCATGAGCTGTTATCAGTAACGGGAAAACAGCTTGTCAACAAATTGATCAGGCCATAACTAAGAGAAAAACAACTGCTCCAACTTTTTCTGTGTCAAACCACCAACATTTACCTCTCCAAAGAAGAAAGAGCACCGCATACACCTTATTTTTTGAGAATGCCAACATGTCTCCATCATTATCACCAATTTAATAAATGTGTATTTCTGTATGCAAGATGCAAAATGTCCAACACTGCTTATTTCACAGGAAGAACACAGGAAGGAAGTAAAAAGAGTGCACATCTGGATGGGTTGATCTTTCTGCCATTTGTGAAATGAGGAACAAAAAAATATTCATTTTCAAAGGAAAGTTGATAACTAATGAACCACCTTAAGCAAACTATCCAGTATACCAGGGGTTGGGAACTCCAGGCCTCGAGGGTCTAGCAGGTTTTAGATCTCACCCTGGGTCAACACACCTGAATGAAATAAATAGTTTATTACCAGGCCTCTGGAGAACTTTAAGACATGATGAGGAGGTTATTTAGCCATTTAAACAAGCTGTTTTGGATCAAGGACAGATCTAGAATTTACCCTTGAGGCCTGGAGTTCCCCCACCCCTGCAGTATATGCATGTATGATTAAATGAGTCTTCTTATGTTAGTACTCTATGCAGCAGTCTATGCCAAACACTTAATACACTCCATCCTGCAGTAGCTTGAATAGCCTTTAACATCAATAATTTGAAGCAATCAGTTCTGGTATGACTTTATCACTCTCTCATCACTGTGGAGGAATTTTGTCCTACTCTTCTTTACAGTGTTGCTTCATTTCATTTATGCACAGCTCTTAAGGTCCTGCCACAGAATTTCAATCAGGTTGAACTCTGGACTTTGGATCATTGCAGCACCTTGATTTTTTTGTTGTTGTTGCCTTTTCAGTCATTCTGGTGTGAACTGTCTGGGATCAGAGTCCTGTTGCATGACCTAATATCAGCTAAGCTTTAGCTGTCAAAAGCTTCACATTTGACTCTAGAATATTTTGGTATACAGAGGAGTTAATGGTCAGCTCAATGACTGAGTTAACCACGTCTTGTGGCTGTAAAACATGTCCAAACATTTACCCCTCCACCACCGTGCTATCAGCTGGTATGAGGCGGTTGTTGCTATTCGCCAAATGTGGTGTTGTGCATTATAGCCAAACATTTCCACTTTGGTCTCATCTGTCCAAAGGACATCATTAAAGCTTGTTCAGATGCAGCTTTGGAAACCTGAGCTGTGTTGCCATGTTGTTTTTAGATGAAGGAGGCTCTCTGCTGCAACCCTTGCAAACAAGCCATACTCCTTTAGTCTTTTTCTAATTGTGCTGTCTTGAACTGAGTTCTGTAGTGTCTGAGATGTAGATCTTGGGTTATTTACAGTTTCTCTGAGTGCTGAACGGTCTGTCCTTGGGTTGAATTTAATAGGATGTTCACACTGAAAAGACTGTGGTATTGTGTTAACACACATCCGAATGCTGCAGACCAGAAAACTTTCAGGAGGTTGTCACACTTGCACACTCTGTGCCAATTACTGGTATAGTTGTGCAGCAATTAATTTCCACATTTGAAAAATTTGTTTCTCCCTCCCTTCTTCTAGATCTCATAGCAGTTTAGTCACTGCCTTTCCCAGCTATTGAAAAGCAAACCCACAAGTGTGAGACGACTCAGCAGAATAAAATGTATTTACTGTAATAACAAGAATGCTGATTCTAGCACCTTTTAATCTTGTGCTTCAACACAGTTGCCATATATAGCAGTTAACCAGCAGCCACGTCTCCTAATGTTGCTCCTAATCCCCTAATGAATGTTTATGTTGGCAAGAGGTCAGTCCATTTTTTTAAACATTTGCAAAAAAAATATAAAAAAAAAATCCAGAAAGTGTCTATTCAAGGATGGAGGAGGAAAACAAGGCCATCTGGCCACCATGATAGTATGTCATGTCATATTATGCTTTGCAAGCAGTTGGGTATAAAGTGAGTGGCCAGCTGCTAAATACAGCTGTTGTCCAAATATAGTTGCCCTCCGTGTGAGCATTTCTAAATGACTTGAGATCACTGAATTGCGTTTTTGTGTTTTCATGCTGACAAATATCTTCTCAGCAGTGATTATGAGGCATTTATTCCTAAATGAAAGCAGAAGAAATGTACTTGTGTACAGGCCTACCTTGTTTCTTCTCGCAGCTGACTGCACAACCCAACACGAGCTGTACCAGCTTTCCCAGTTCTGTGACATCTCCCATCTCTCCTATCAGGTTCACGTCTGGCATATGCTCATCAGACACCTGGTGACCGAGCACCTGTTCACGAAACAGAAAAGTGAGCTGGTAGGCTCGAGTCAAGCGGCGCATGAAAAATGAAGGCGAAATCAGCAAAAGTTTCTTACATCGTGATAATATTCCATCATGCTTTTCAGAATCTTTTTCAAATTGCTGACCTGAAAGAATGAAACGGGGTTACAATCGTAACACTTTCATTAGTCAAGCAGAAGAATTTAAAAAAAAGATCTTTGATTTGAGTCATTCTAGATAACTACAGGGTGTTCTGTCATATCATGCCGTTTCACAGATTACCTTGAGGCGCCAGTTAGCCCCGCTCTCCTCCTTGATCCTGCCTAGCCATGTCTCATTAAACCAAGAAGGGTCTCTGTTAATGAGAGCACAAGAGAATTGTAACGACGACACATCTCTGGATACTGACATTGATAACACAAGGCCACGGGGCAGTGAGACCCTGTGTTTCTGTCCCTTCAGGCACAATGACAGAGTAAAACTATTCATTAAAAGCTACACAGCATGGGAATAATGATAAAGAAGAAGCTACAGCTAAAATAGGTTGATTAAAAATCTGTTTTCCAAATGTGTATTTTCCAATAATTGGTTGATGTGATTAAGCCTGCACAGACCACTTTATTTATTTAAAAAAAACAAAATCACACCGATGCCTGAGGTATTCAGAGCCATGTCTGGGTAACATTTACTGTTTAACTGGCTACATTTTGCATAGATAATGGACTTAACGGCAATCCAAAATTATACAGATAAGCAAATTTCAGTGAGTAAGTTCTGAATGAATCTCCAGAAGACAATCGTGCAGTTAGTGGAAACAACACTGGTGACATACTGCTTGTGCTTACATTCTGTGCAGTACATGTGCAATGGCCACTCCGCTTGTCAGGTCGTGCTTGCTGTTGCACGATGGCACCTGAAATGTCTGTAACTGAGAGTGAAGACATTAAAGAGCTGGTCATTAAAGAAAGAAACCTTTCAATGTTTTGACATTTAATGTACAGCAACATTACATTAAACTAAACCAGGGTGAAAACATTACTATATTAAATAAATGAATCTAATATCCCCATTCTAAACAGCACTGTGCAAAAATCTCAAATCATTAGGAAAATGGGAAATGGGTGCAGTGATTTATTGAAACATCGACAAACATAAATGTAAATTAGGGAAAACGTGATTTATACAATTCTAACAAACTTGAAAATACATATTTGGTATTTGCCGTTTTTGGGATCATCTTGAACAGAACAATGCTTTAAAGTTTGGTGACTGGACTCTAGGGAAGCCAATCCATGACTGATGGTGTTGTATTGTGTGCTTTTCTATTTGGGTATGCTTTCATTGCATTGCCAGGGTGTTTGAGATCACTGTCATACTGATAAATAGAATGATTACCAATTAGATGGTTCCCAGATGGTATTACACTTTTCTGCATTTATAGTTCCATCAATTTTGAAAAGATCCCAAAAATATTGACTGAAAGCCAACACCATACCATACAGAGCCTTCCCTGTGTTTTACAGATGGCTGTAGAGTCTCACTGTCTCTCCTGATCTCCTCTGTAGAGCAGCCTAAATCTGAACAACATTTTCAAATTTGGATTCATCACTCCACCAGATCTGTTACCACCCATTTTAAATTCAGTTCCACTTTGGCATAGCTCAGCCTTCTGTCCTTGCCTTCTTCCCTTAAGAATGGCTTCTTGACCTCCACATTTCCACTGAGACTATTTCTCAGTAATCAGTAGATGGGTCAACTGAGGAGCTTGATGCATCTAATTTTTTCTATTGTTAAAGGCCACGATTTTATATTCTGCTCCTCTGCTGTATCTAGTCTTTGATCCTTGGTACATCTTTCGTCCGCGACCTGTTCAGTTTCCTTACATTTTTAAGGACACACTGCACACCATGCTGAGATGTGAAGTTGTCAGCCAACAGCTCTTTGTGAATCACCTTCTTTATATAAATACCATTTTATGCCTGTCAACCTGTGTTATCACTGGGAAGTGGAACAAGTTATATTGCTGCTAGTAAAGCCTAAAGATACAATTTAAAACTGGTTCTCTAGGTTGTCTGTGTAGACAACACTAGCTCATCCGTTGAGTTGGGTGTCTTTTTATGCTTGAATAATTCATAGGTCAGTGTTGAGTGGCTTAAAAATACAAAAACATTTCTTTGAGAATGGTCAGATACAAGGACTGGACTGGACAATGAGTAAAAAAGTAGCCAATGTTAAAAGAAACTTTGAAAGACCTTCAGAAAGTCTAAAGAATAATTGCTCAAGATCATTTTTAAAAACTTTCAAGAAAGCCTGGCTCCTTGGAACCAAAATTTAAAGAAAGAAGGGGGATTTATGTATTTGGGGATTTTGTGTAAAGCTGCTCAAGCTTTCTAAACATAACTTAAATTTAAAAAAAAAAAATACTAAGCAGCAATGGGGGATTACAGCCCTGCTTAGCATGCTATTATTAGTTGGTGTCTTAGTTCAGTCCAAGTCTTCACACCTCTTTGTAGAAAGGAGCCAAACAGGTGGATTTGCTCTGAGCTTTGAAAATAACGTGGCTGTGTTGGATAGCCTAAGATTACTCCTTAGGTCTCTCAGCTTACACTAAGCTATTTGGGTTTGTTTTTCTGGCAGTTAATTTGCTGACAACGCAGTCAGTTTGCTAACATGGATAACAGATAAAGCAGACCACCAGGAGCAAACCTCCAATGTGTTCACAAAGCCAATTAGCTCGGCTGGCTAGTGACAGTTAGCTTACAACTTAAAACACCAAGCGTTTAATTGACCAAGTCAGTAAAGATGCCCCTTATCAATTACGTGAGCCCACAACTTCCAAAAGTAAAGCCGTAATTCTCCACATTTGCTAACACCTGCTGACACCTCTTAGCCGGCGGTTAGCCTTGCTCGAAATGTTGCTACTGTCAAACTTACCCAGGTTAACAGTGAATCACACAGCTTCGCCTTATCCAGACTCATTGTGCTGTCCTCTGTGAAACCCGCAGGAGCTTACAGAGAACTGGGGGGATTTTGTTCTCGAGGCTTGTTTTGGCCCGAAGTTTCTTACTCAGTGCTGACACTTTCCACGTCAGACACTGTCCAGCCGTGGCCTCCTCCTGCTGCTCCTGACAACCTTCGCGTTTCGGCTCCTGTGGGCCTCGCGAGCTTCCGTATTAGAGCGTTTCCAAGACGATGGATTATACTTTGGGTCAGCTTGTCTAGTCGCAGTCAAAAATAGTAATTATCGCGATAATACGCTGTTTTTCTTTTAATCTGCCATAATGATGTTGCTTAAATGTTGACAATCTCCAAGTGTAATTTATTTACCCTTTATTCAGCCGGGGGATGCTAGTGAGCTGACGAATTAGCTTTTAAAGTAGGGTTCAGGTCAAGGTAGCTAGATAGACATGATACAGAAAATATATTAGAATTTTTTTTAAGTCACTAGTGTACTAGTGATGTTAAGACTCATAATTTCCAACTGTGTCAAAAAATATTTCAGTACCCTCAAACTTTTGCAAGAATTTACTTATTATGCTCTCCATTTAAATTTTACTTCATTGATTTTTTACACTGTTTTCTGTTTTCTATATAACCAAACTCCTATTTTTCTAAATGAGCGCTTTCCCCCTTCGTTCTGATATTAGTGTGTATCTTAACATTTTAAAAATAGAAAGAGATCACCCCTTTACTACTTGGACTGAGATTCACAAGCATTTAAAGGCAAGAATGCATTTTGCATTTTGAGATTTATGCATATTATTTGTATTATTTTATTTACAAGCACCGAAATGTGTTTGTCCTTCTGGAGCTTTTAATTTAAGAAATTCCATTAACCAATTGTTTTCAATTGCTTGCACATGGAAAACTGTGTTGGATCCCATCAAACTGCTATAGAAGGGATCCCAAATTTGCAAATTTAGGGCCATAGATGGCCACAATGTCTTCAGAGCCTTTCCATGACGGCTCTTTATCCTTT